TAGTGCTACCTATAGTTCCATTGTATAATTTGGTAGCACCTCTAGTATTGCTATTTTTCCTCAAAACTGTCTTGGTTATTCTAAGTCTTTTATTTTCCCATACAAATTTTAAGAGCCCCCCCTAGTTTTGTGAAAAATGTCATTGGTATCTTAATATATGTTTTATAAAGGAAAGTTTAATTCCTCCAACTCCATACTTTTTCAAAACATGCGGCTCTTCATCTTTCATATTTCTGTATTGGTGTTAGAGATCAGCTTGTCAATTTCTTTTAAAGATGTGTTGGGGTATTAACACACCTTTTGTTAGGTGTGTTAATACCTAGGAATTGATAGATTGATTTCAGAACAATTATCATCTTAGAAATATTGAGTTTCCAAATTCATGAACATGAAGTGACTCTCCCTTATTGAGATTCTCTTACTAATTTTATCAATATTGTATAATTTGCACTTTTTCCTGAAATTTAAAGTCAGATGATTTAATCTTTTCATTGTTACTGTGAATAAAACTTCTCTATTTATTCCATTTTTTGTATTCTTCATTACAAATATAGTGAAATTTAATTTCTTTGTAGACCCTGAAATCCTCCTGAATTCATTATTAGTTCTGGTAGATTATTTTGGTTTGGGGAGGAACTGTTCTAAGAATCTTCTACATATAATATTATACTACATAAAAATAAGGACAGTTTTTCAATCTGGATCCATTTTCTTTTGCAGATTCATAGATTTCCCAAATCTTATTACCTCCTTGCTTTCTAATCTAGTGTTCCTTCCTTCCTTCATTCATTCCTTCCTTTCTCCTCTCTCTTTCTTTGCTTCCTTTCTCTCTCTTTCTTTCTGATTTTATTAGTCACATATTTCAGCACAAGACTAAACAGAAGTTGTGTGAATGCACATCTTTTGCTTCTGATCTTGGAACTGATTTAACATTTCACAGATATGTATGATGAGGTAAGAACGTTTGAGGGAGGAGTGTTTATTGCAAATGAATGTTGGGTTAACTTTTTCTGTGTTTTGAGATTTTTTACATGATATTTGAACTTCATTATATTAACATGGTATATGACATTAATTCGTGTTTTCATATTGGATCAAACTTGACATTTATGGCATAAATCCTGCTTGGTCATAATTTAAAATCCTTTTTAAAAATATTATTTGCTAGATTTGACTTGCTAATATTTTGTTGAGAAATTATGTGTTTTTATTCACAGGAGACATCTGTCAATAGTTTGTAATGTATTTATCTTGAGTATCAGGACAAGGTTAACTTTAAAGAACAAGAAGTATTCCTATTATTTAAAACGTACTTATGATGAATTCTCACTTTTTATATTAATGTTTGATTTAATTTACCAGTGAAACTATTGGGGCTTAACTTGTTTGTATGAAAGCGTTTTCATTATTATTTATACCTTTTATTTATAATTTGTCGGAACAAGACTTTTAAACTTTTTAAAAATTAATCTCAACAGTTTTTATCTTTCAATGAATTTTTCCCTTTTTTCTAAGGTGTCTAACTGATTGGCATAGAGTTGGGCTTAGTAGTCCCTTATTAGTCCCCCCAAAATTGTTAATCACATTAAGGTTAGTAGAAATGTCCTGTCTTTCATTTCTGACTTTGATAAATTGTATAGTTTTTTTTCTGTGATGATTCCAGCCAAAGATTTGTCAATTTTATCAACCATATTCAATAACCAACTTATTTTCCTTTATTTTATTACTATTTTTATGCATTCCATTCTATTGGGTTTTGATTTAGTTTTATTATGTTTTCTTTCTCTATGTTTGGATTTAGTTTGCTGAGTTTTTTTTTTCCTATTTTCTTGAAGTGGGAGTTTAATCATCTAACATAGGTGTTTAAAGCTTACAATTTTCTTCTAAATGTTGCTTTCGTGTCATCTTATAAATTTCTGTCTTATTTCTGTTTTTATTTCAATTTTTATTTAAAAATTTCTAATATTCTAATTTTCTTTGCAATATTTGTTGATCAACGGTTCATTTAGAATTGCAACTGCGTAATTTGCAAGTGTTCATAGGTTTCCCAAATTTTATTACCTCCTTGCTTTCTAATCTAGTTTTACTGTATTTAAAGATTATACTTTGATGATTTCAATCTCATTAAACTTATTGAAACTTCCTTTGTAGCTGGGCATATGGTAGCCGACCTTTATAGCCTGTACCAGTGGAGCTGAGTCAGGGCAAGTGGAGACTCAAGACAAAACTCTTTATCTTCTCATCCTAAGGAACCCAGAAGACATAGCATTTGCTTATAATTACAGTGTGGGAATAGGGTGCTGCAGTCAACAATTTCAATTAACCTGATTATAAGTAATTATATAAATTAATATAAATTAAATTATATATAAAACTGCAATGCTGTAGATACTACAAAGAAAAGTTCTGGGTAAAAATAATGACCATGTCAGAAAATATCCAGAGGAAAAGATTTTAATGTGGTTGTAAAAATTATCCTTATACTTACAGATTTAAACACTTTGTCTGATTTATTCCCAGGAAGAAATATGTATATATTTGCTGTCAGAAGAAAAACTTGATGTCAATAAGTTGATTCAAACTCTATATACTGAGACTCCATCTCCATCAGACTCAATGCCAGATACTGAATCCTAGTATCAGAGAGCTCAGGGGACATTGAAAAATGTCTACTTGACTAATAGAACAGCATTTATCATAAGGGCGAGTTTTTATTTAAAAATCAATTAAATTTTTCCCCTAATTTTATTAATTAATAGAATACATGATGTTAAAATAAAAATGTTAAATACCTCAAAAAGTTACTTTAGGTGGGATGTTTTATTATTTTATTTGATAAAACAAAAAAATTAGTAAACAAAGAACACTGTTACCCACCCTCAATTAGTATCAACAAAAATGTGAGCAAATAAAACTAATCATAATAGATGTTAAAAACAGCTAAATCCAGGGACTTTCATTCCCAATTGAAAGAACACAGTGACACCCCCTATTTCCTCTACTCATTCTCTTTTCTTCCTTTTTCTCTCTTCAGTACCTCCTTCCTCCCTATCCATTCTCTTCCACCTCCTCCTCTTAATTCTTCTCCTTCTTCCTCTAGTTCTTCTTCTCTCTCTCTCTTTCCTTTTTCTCTTTTTCTCTCCATCTTTTTCTTCTCCTTTCCTCCCTCCTCTCAGGAAAATGGAAAGTCAACATCTTGAGATGATATACGTTGGATTTAAAATAAATATGAAAGTGAAAAATATCACATAGGTTAAAATATTCAGGGAAAGGCATTCATAAACTTTAACTTTGATACAACCCAGAACAAAAATTAGAGAATAACATACTTGTTAAAAGTTTAAATTATAAATTTGATTTCTATATTAGATAAAATTAAGAATTTAATTTCATGAAACTAAAATAATTCACATTAAAAACGATAATTTGGTGAATTAAATTTGAATACAGTCAGCCTTTCATAACCCTGGGTTCCACATCTGCAGATTCAACCAACTGTGGGTTGAAATTATTTGAGGTAAAAACAAAAACAAACAAACAAAATGACATGTTGTTGCAAATTGGTACTGTGTAGTTAGGTCTGCAATAGGCAATAGTTGTATTTGCATAGAATAGGAACAAAATTTTGTCATTATTCTCTGAACAATATAGCATAACAGCAATTTACCCAGCATTTGCATTATATCAGATATTAAAAGTAATCTAGAAATGACTTAAATTATGCAGAAAGACTTGTGTAGGTTACATGCAAATGTTGTGCCATTTTGTATAAAAGACTTGAGCATTCACAGATTTTGGTATCTGTAGAGTCCTGGAATCTCCCATAGATGTGGAAGGATGATTGCTTCATTTTAATATTCTTTGTTTTACTGTGATGAAAATTTTGTCAAGTTTCACTCAAGAGATCAACTTAGAACATCTTGATACTCCATGTGTACTCTTGGCCTGAAGTCACTATGTATGCAGTGACAGGCAGAGTACATACAGGGTTTGCACCCCACTACACAGGAACTGACCCTGGAATCGTGGAAGACCATTGCAAAAGTGATGAAAACAGCAATTACCAAGCAATGGGTAGTAAGTAACTGAGCACTGACTAATGAATCACAGTTGATGGAGAGTTTTGCATTTGGGGTGGTTAAAATCATTTACAGCCTTCAATAATAAAATTAATTTAATTTTGTCTTATTCATCAGAAATGATACTATTTTAAGCTCTTCAGTCCTCTGCTGAAAGATGGGAATGGGGCTATTCATGCTTGGCTTAGTGGTGTCTTTATTCAATATGAAACCTTAGTATAATTAATATATAATATTTTTAAGCTTCATTATTGTACAGTTTGTTGAATATTTTAAATTATTAATTAAATTATGGTTTGGTAACCTCAAAAATTGATTTTTTTTCCAAACTTATTTTTCACATAGTTTTGAAATCCAAGTGTCATTTTAAGGAAAAAAAGCTTAACCCATATGCTTTTATTCATCAACACTTATAATTATTAAAATGCATTATTGCTTTTAATGGGTATTTTATGTTGCAAAGGAGTGTTTTGAATTATTCCCATGACATTTTTAATTCTCATTATAAAACACAATAATTATTTTGTAGCCAGGGGATTACAAAACAATCTGGAAGAAAAATTACCCTCACATTTTGTGCATCTCCTTTCTGGAGTGCATTCTATCACCAGCATAAAATTGAGCACAGTCAGTGTCCTTAGGTAGGAAAAGAGTTGGATACAAAGCAGGAGAAGGCATTTGTGGAGAAACCTTGTTTCCCATTTATGAGCAAAGCTCCATGGCTGAATCCAGCAGAAGGAGGCACAATCACCAGGGATCCTTGCTCTGGTACTTTGAGTGAAATATTTTCTTATGCATTTAGTGAAGAAGCTATGCCAAAATACAAGACGTTCATAAGGAAGGAAACATCTCCATTTAGTAAATGTATGAAATTAATTGAATGCAGTGAGGCTATTGATGAATTCTTCTCTTCTGCATCAGGAGAAGCCATCTTGCATCCAGTGGCAACACCAAGTCTTTCGATATGGATCTGTGAATGAGAATCTTACAATTATCCATCTAATCATCACTTATCCCAAATCAGCACAACCACAGAGAAGCCATGTGAGGATGGAGGGGCTGGAGGGACCAGACTGTGCGCAGGTGAAGTAGCAATTGTTGGTGGCACCAAGGGGTGGCTCATTCTGGGAATTCCTCTTCACATAACCTACCCATCATTGACATCTGGCATTGACTGATTAAGAGTTTCTTTGACTAAAGTCTCTGTCCACTATAACATTTCAAATCATCCATGAAAATAAACAAAATCATTCTTTTCTATGAGGAAGAAAAGTTTTAAATATTTTTTGTTTGAGTTTTGATACCTTTGCAAGTCCATAAAATGCATTCAATATCCCAGGACCACAGGTTTAAAAAGGACGTACACAAAAGAAAGTTTCTACCATACTCAAGGTTAATTCCAAAAGCAATCTGTCAAAGGAACTGGTATATCTGGGTTACTTATAATCTAATAAAAATCCTACAATATATTCTGTTAGTTTTTTTGATGTGAATTTTCAAGATTATAGGGCCAGTTTAAGAAAATTTTCTTAAAAATATTTTCTTCCTTTTAAAGGCATAAAGCCAGGCAGTAATTTGATCATTTAAATTTTATTTTTTATTTTCATTAACATTGATTTTAACCAACATATCCTAACTGGATGCCTTTATGAAGTACAATGTGATGTTTTGATATGTGTGTACAACCCATACAGTCGCCACTGAAGCAATTTTCTGAAGCAATTTTGATGTTCTGCTGGGATAGACCTACATCTTGCAAAAGGTTAAGTATTCTGTCGAATATTTTAGTGTGGTAATCAAAACATTCAAGGTGGAATTATAATCCACGAAAAGCATGTGTTGATACCTCCAAATCTGTCTCTTTATGGGTGCCTTGCAGTAATAGCATCTGACTTTTGTTTGAATTTGGGATCTTTCAAACTCCGTATTCATATTTCCTCATTTTACAATGTTGTTCTCAGAAAGGAAGTCATTGATGTTCTCATCTATTTTTTTAGAGATGCACTAATTTGAGTCTCAGGGCAGCTATAAAAGTCGAATCTTTAAAGAAAGGGAAGGTCTGTGATTCTGTTCTGTGAAACCATAATCCCTGCCTACTCAGGCACCATTTGATTTGTTCTCCAATTTGAGAACCATAGAAAGATTCCAGGCTTCCATTTAAGAATCTACTTCCTCACTTTTCAGAATCAAGTTTCAGAAGACCATTCCAGGGCCAAGTAAGAGCCCAGACTCAGGATATTTAAAACTACCCATGGGATCTAACAACTGGGTAGGCTGATAGATTGCCTTTTTGCCCTTCTTTCTTATTTCGATGGAACTGAACCAAAGTTGTAATTCTTGGAGAGTTTCGGAATGGGAAATGCAGTTCAAACCTGGGTGCTGGCTGCTCCCTGCATGTTAAAAGGTAATTGAACAGGAGCTAGCACAGGTACAATTGGATATGTAGGCTAGAGGCACTAAGTTGCCGTCTCGAAGAGGTCACACTGAAATGAATTTTTTAAAAGGACTATAAAATTGCATCTAAGATAGATGGGGAGCAAAAGCAATATTTAAATGAAATTGTTATGGATATAAGTCACTTTCTAGGCTTTATAACTATTCCTAACATAAAATATGTTTTCACTTCATATATAAAACATTGTTATTATTCACATCTTATGACATGTTAACATATTAAAACTTAAATGTTTAATGCATATATTAAAATTTTGTGTCATCATTAACCCAGCTGATGAATTCTCTTTGAAAAAAAAATAATGGAAAAGATACATCAAGAGAGATAATTTTTACAATTAGAATAAAAATGTGTAACTGGAAGAGTGGTGAGATAAAAATGTCTAATTCAGAGTTCCACCTCCTCTTCTTTCCTTTATTTATTTTTTTTCTTTTCTTTTTTGGCTCATGGGAATCTTGCTGCCATTTGTTTTCCTATTAAATGACATTTCAAATGCTTTATTATAAACATAAATCACATCTCCTTTCAAGAAGGCAAACGACAAACTAAATTTGAGATCTGGCTTGCATTTCTATGTCCTGCCCAAGACTAAATAGATGAACGGTTGCTTTATAGATTGCGCCTGAAAGATAAACAAAGAGAGACAGTAGATTACAGAAAACATGTCACTAGAAACTGACATCTGCCCTTTAATTCACGAACATCATCCTAGCCCCTGTCACTTTGGTTGACATCTGTTACACATCCTGATGCGTGGAATTGTAGAAAAGACCAATCTTATCTGCAGATGTTACACACACACACACCCACACACACACACCCACACACACACACACACACACACACACACACATCTTTAAGCTGCTTTGGTTTATCTATAGATATGACTTTATCTTTGTGAGTCTTTTAAAATGCAAAATAAATAAATAAATGCCTTTTTTCACACCCTCCTGCACCAACATCTAGTAATGGATGCTGTGAGAGACACTGAAATTCCCCTGTGCTCAAATCAACATCCTCTGCAATATAGACATTTTCTACCACTAAACTGGATTTCTTTGAATCAAAATGTCCTGAAAATTCTTGGGAGATGTACACACATTACCCAAGCCAAATAATTCATGAACATACTTATGCAAACTATCACCAATTATCACATTAATGGAGAAGTAAATAAAAAGGAAGGAACTACAACATAAAGAGCCAATGACTGAAATACATCTGGAACTTAGATCCAGACTTTTGCTACTCAAAGTGTGGTCTCTAGACAGAGGTATTGTTGTCTTTTGGGAGAGAAATACAAATGCAAATTCTCTGGTTTCACCCCTACCTACTGGATCAGAATGCCTTGGGGGGAAGCCTGTAGTTTAGGAAGCTACTGATGAGATTCTTGGACTTGCTAAGAATTGTCAAGCACTGGTTCAAACTTGAGACCCCCCCCCCAACAGCAAGAAAGGAGTGAGTGAGAACTGGAAGAGGTATTTCATGCACCACTTATACTTATTTAACATATTTGTTAATATTAATGCTTGATCTCAACGCCATTTAACCTCAAAAAATGGTGAGACAGAATTATGGGTTTATACCCAATTACTCCTATATTTGCATATATCATGATGATATCTGTAGATTAAAAATGTTCCCTGCAGTATACATACTGAAATAGACTTTACATATATATATATATATATATATATATATATAATTGCTTAAGTGTTGAAGTGTTCCTCAGGGAAATTAAAATTTTAAAGAATCATTATTTATGCAGTACTTTTATATTTGAAGCCACATGCATGATGCATGAGACAAAGCAAATCAAAAGCAACTCAAAACCTCTACATGGAATCAGAAAGTTTTCAGGGACTTGTGACATCATAATCTTTCAGTTTGTGATTATGATCATGCTTATTAAAGATGCAAATTCCTGGGGACCAAGGTGACAAGGCTCTGAAGATGATGAGGCTGGTGACCTAGCAAGTCCCCCATGGACTGGGCTAGAGATGGGCTGGCCCATCCTGGGGACTGGAGCTGAAATGAGAACTCTGAAGCTGTAGGAAGCATCTTCATCCCTGAATTGCTCATGGGCTCTGATTATGGAGGCTCCTAAGACCATCTACAAAGGACAAAACCCTTGGTTCTGTGACAACTTGAAAGACACTGTTGCTTCTTAAAATAAGAAAAATATTCAAAATGGATTGTTAAAATAAAAATGAAGATTTGGAATAGATTGACTTTACCTTATTACAAAAGCAAATATGGCGATTTCTAGAAAAAGTGGGAAATACTGTTAAACAAAGAATGAAACAGCTATTCACCTACTCCCTGCATGGGATGAGCACCAAGTGGTGCCACATTAGTGTATATCAACGCACATCTTTATCTTTGCTATATATGTATGAAGCAAAAATGAATATGTAAATATGCATGATGTTTATAAATATATACAAAAGTGAAATAATTTCTGTTATTATATTATCTACTTTGTTCACATATTAGCATGTCCTAAACACACACTTTCGAGTCAATAAATGTAGTTCCTTAACAGTTTCAATGGCTACTGAACAACCAATTTTATGGTTGTACCGACATTTATTTACCACATGCCCAGTTGTTCCCCATAAGTAGTTTCTAGCTTGTCACTTTTGTATACAATGCTCTGGTGACACATCCTAATAGTTATATTTTTATACACATCCTTATGATTTCCTTTACATAAAATTTATGGAAATATAAACAAGTGTGCTATTACTAAAAACCTACTCATCAGCTGACCTATTTTACTTGGGTGGAGAATATTCAAAGTGTCTCTATAGAGTTTCATCTTATTAGATGTAGTTCATTGCTCGATCCTGCAGAAAAATTGGCACAGTCTAACTGCATCATCAAACAAATTCACTGCTCCACCCTGCTTTGTGGCATCTGGATACTTTGCATAGATGCCTCATTCCCATGCACAGTCATTATAAGAGGTCCTAGAAGCAAGATAATTTCAGAATCCATATTTTTGTGAGGACTTTAGACAGAGAATATGGTACATATACTAAATATAGGTGTCCCTGCTATGATTCCATATGTACATTCCTGAAAAACCTTGTGTTCTGCAATATGGTGCACTAAACTTAATAGAGCCTATGGGGAAAAACAGGTTTGTAACAGACCACCGAAATCCCATGGAATTTTTAAATCAGAGAATAATCAACAGAAGCAATAAAATAACTGTCCTAATGGAAGTATAGCAAAGCTGATCTCTGTTAGCCTTTGAATGGAGCCCTGCATCAGCCAATCCCTTATAACATGAAAACATAAAAAGATCTTTTTTTTTTTCCTATGTGGATATAAGTTCTGTAAATGTTTAATTTCAATAGTGACTGTTTTCTTCATGAGGTCAACAATCCTTGATCTAAGATTATAGTCTTCCTCATTTGTCTGTTATTTTAAAATGGGAAGAGGGGATATCTTTGCAAAGATTTCAATCACACTTGAAATTTTTCCAGGTAGCTAAACATAGTAGTTTTAAAAGCCAAGATTCTGGCTACTCATTGTACTGCTGTGTTCTTTACTTTTCAGCATGTTTTTTTTTAAGATCATGCATGTTAGGGCCTTATCTTTAATTATGAGAAAACTTGTC